TTTGGACTTTTAGTCCAAATTGATTTTTTTCTTTTTTTTTTATAAGTCCAAGTTATGGATCCACTTAGATTACAAGAACTAAAATAATTAAATAATTTTATATTACAAGAACTATTGACTAGCAAATAAAATTAGGTTAATAGAGACGGATCAACAAAAATTAAAAAAAATTGTTGCTTTGCTTCTATATTATGAAGTCAGACTGTCTGAGTATGGAAAAAAATGCTAAGTATAACACAATGAGTTTTTGCAAGAAATTTTTTAGTGCTATTACTTATTGATAACATCATATATTTGAGGAAATTAAGATATAACTATGAGATTAGGATTTATCTTTTGATTTTTATTTTTCATAAATTAAGAAAAAAGGTAAACATGTAATTGAGTTGGATAAGTTTGGTTAACCAATGTTCGAGACTTCAAACCATGTCTCAACTGATCCACCAAGGTTTCGTTTAAACAAAAAAAATCAAACCAAACCAATTACTTATATCAGATCAACCCGAGTCAATTCGATTTGTTGGGTTTTTCGATTTTTTGCCTAGACCTAACACTTTACACAATAAAAAGTTTATGCAGGTTATCAGGGTCACCCTACTCCTATCAATCGAGGCTAGTTGTTATGCCTAAATTTGTGACTCAAATCCGACAAATCTCAACCTCAGTGCGAATTTGGCATTGCCAGATATCAATATTTTTACGAGTATGCTACATGTATCGCTTAGTGTATGGCCCTCTCATAGGGGAACGAGGCCCGCGCATTAATTGGACGTGGGCCCCTCCTCTCATGTGAGGGGAGTGTTAGTACTAGGTGTACAAGGGGCATTATTCACATTTTTAATGCTCAATTAAAACTTTGATCATTTTCAAATATGGGTTATTATCATTTCAAAATTTATGAGGATATATTTAAATTCTTGACAATTTGAGGTAAATTAATTAGTGATCGAAACAATTAGCGTATATTGTGAAAATCTCAGCAGTAAATCCAGCCTGATCACTGCATTTAACTTCGGACGTTGAAAATTCAATTTAAATTCACAGCTATGAACATGAATACAGTCCAACAATATAATTACTTTCACCTTATTTTAGTATTTATCTTTATTTTCGCAATCTGGACTCTTCAGTACATAAATTCACGTGCAAAATTCCCCTATAAATAGGAAAATCTTTGTTCTCTTCACAGCATATGTGTTTATCCTCGTAACATTTTGACACAAAGATCAGTCTCCGTCAATGGAATTCTTCAACAAATTCCTTTGCTTTCTTTTGTTTGCATGCTTTATGACCAGAGGTATGGCATTTCTTCCGTTTCTTTCTTTTTTTCACTTATTTAATATTAATTTATACGATTTTGGTTTCATGTTTTAGGTAGCCTTCAGTGCTTTCCTGGGACAGTTAAAGACCTTGTTGTTAATCAAGTTAGAACCAATGCGGGGTCGAAAGTGACAATCACCAATAAATGCGTGTGTAGCTTCTTGGAAGTGACGCTACTTTGCCCCGGATTTGATTCTGTCAAAAAAATTGAGCCGCCTATGGCGGTGTCCACAAACGGCCGGAATTGTCTTATTAACAATGGAAACCCTATCTATGGTGGAAAAACATTTGAATTCACTTATACCTCGGATGTAGAGATTGCATTTGCTCCACTTTCCTTCCGAGAAGCATGCTCTTGAATGAAAGATTGTTGCTGATTCTCAGACTTAATGAAATAAGGATCTTGCTAAATCTACATCAGATTTTGAAGAGTGGGTTACATAACGTCACATTGCTTTATCAATTGCTGGTTTAAAAAGCAATCAATTTTTTCATCCAAACTTTTCTCTACATATCATCTCATGTAATCCCTTATGCATCATTTTTATGTACAAGTAGCGTAATCCATGAAATAAACTTGGGAGTTTACTGTGTTTTTATATTATTTTTATTTTTTTTTCTGTAAAGAGGTTGCTGGTTTGACGAAAGCGAAAGTTACAGTCATGGTATGTGGAGAACTGTTTTTGTCTTTTAGGTTTTTATTTTAATTGGTTTTTATAGAGAACATAATTTTACCATTTTAACCTCTTAAAATTATGACTCTAATTCGCGTGAATCTGTCGACTCATGATTTTAATACTCGAACAACTTCATTAGCATACAAGACTTTTAATGGAGCAAGTACTAAATATTGGTCAAATACATTACGTTTCTTCCCAAAAGGAAAAAAATAATTAAATAGATAAATAAGGCCAAAGCCACATCACTCAAGATTTCGTTGTTTTTTATGGAATTTGCTTCATTAATATATCACAATTCAATTTTGATCATTGTGGACTAGCACAATGATCGAGTCCTAGGCAAGCAGATCTAATTTTTATGTCTACAAAAGTAACAATTAAAATGGAACCCTTTTTAGAGATTACATGAGAAAATGCCTAAACAAAAGTAGTTCTTTTATGGGAGCTTGTACAATTACGGAAGAGATATTCCGTGCTGATTCTTATAATACCACTTGAAAAGTCGGTAAGCTAATTTTGATGGACGTAAATTTGCGAGATTGTCAATATCCACCTAAATTGAAAGCAACTATAAATTCTACAACAAAATTTCTTAAGTAAGAATCTTCAAAAGTATACATAGATAGAATTAGGTATCAACTAGCAAATCGATGTTTTACTATTAATAATATGTTTCATTTTGGACATCCTATGAATAGTGGAAATTATCATCAAATATTCCTTTATCATCTGCCATCTATTTGACCATTTCATTTCTACCAACCTTTATTTCTTTTCTTTGTTTGAACCTCTAAATTTAGAAACAATATATATTATCGATGTCAATATTTGTATATTAATTCGAAATATATGAATAAAATGTAATACTATAAATAGAGAATTATATCTCTTTGTTCTCCCTAAACCACTCATTTAATTATATCATATTTTCCATCAAATGCATATTATGGATATCAATATTTGTATATTAATTCGAAATATTCGTATACAATGTACTACTCTATATAGAGAATTATATCTCTTTGTTCTCCCCAAACCACTCATTTAATTATATCATATTTTCCATCGAATGCATACTATTGATATCAATATTTGTATATTAATTCGAAATATTGGTATACAATGTAGTACTATAGATAGAGAATTATATCTCTTTGTTCTCCCCAAACCACTCATTTAATTATATCATATTTTCCATCGACTGCATATTATTGATATCAATATTTGTATATTAATTCGAAATATTCATCTACAATGTAGTACTATATATAGAGAATTATATCTCTTTTTTCTCCCCAAACCACTCATTTAATTATATCATATTTTCCATCGCCTGCATATTATTGATATCAATATTTGTATATTAATTCGAAATATTCGTATACAATGTAGTACTATATATAGAGAATTATATATCTTTGTTCTCCCCAAACCACTCATTCAATTATATCATATTTTCCATCAAATGCATATTATTGATATCAATATTTGTATATTAATTCGAAATATTGGTATATAATGTAATACTATAAATAGAGAATTGTATCTCTTTGTTCTCCCCAAACAATTCATTTAATTATATCATATTTTCCATCGAATGCATATTATTGATATCAATATTTGTATATTAATTCGAAATATTCGTATACAATTTAGTACTATATATAGAGAATTATATCTCTTTGTTCTCCCCAAACCACACATTTAATTATATCATATTTTCTATCAAATGCATTTATTGATATCAATATTTGTATATTAATTCGAAATATTCGTATACAATGTAATACTATAAATAGAGAATTATATATCTTTGTTCTCCCCAAACCACTCATTTAATTATATCATATTTTCCAATGAACGAATCACCAAATTCCTTGCTTTTTTGTTTCTTCACATTCACAGCATGGGTATATTATATAGCTCTATCTTAGATTTCATTTGGGGTTGATTTTAGATCCCAACTTCTGATTGTAAAACAATTAAAATTTATTTTAGGTGTTTAGAAATTGTTTAAAAATTAATTATATAATAAATTACACTATCTTGATGCAGATTTTTGTGGAACAGCAAAAATTGTAACATTTTAAATTCTACTTTTAAGCCCTCCAGAATCTATAATTAAAATGCCACTCTACGTGGATCATGCTTTTATTTGGTAATTTTATAAATTTTGAGATTTAGTGAATGTTAATTTTTTTAGAATTTTGTTGATAATGTTATTTAAAAAAAATGTTACTATACTACTAATAATATTGTACAAAAGATAAGCACCAATCTTAAAATAAAAGTTCACTAAATACTTAACTCGTTCTTCCTTTAGCTCTGCTTTTAAGAGAATTGGCTATATCTGGAGAAACAATCAATTACGAGAATAATCAACTAATATCGACAAGTGCATCTCATAGTGCTAGGGTTGGCTTCAACAACACAGAGAGAAATACTTTCTTGTTCTTCTTGTGTGATTCCGCTTTCCGGAATTCAATTTCAGGTTTTGGTTTTTTTATTTTTGTTGTCAATATTTTGAAGAATATCAAGGGGTTTTGTCTGAAATTAGTTTAAAATTGAGAAAATTTGGTTAAATATAAAAATAAAAAGTGACTTTCGTGTCAACTTCGGCCGAATAGTCGGAATTGATCTGATTGTCAAATTACAAATCTAAATAAATTAACTTGATCTACACTTCAAGTAGATCATTATGGTATATTTGAAAGCTCAAAGCCAATTTTAGATGAATTAAAAATTGTGGTCTGAATTTGGAAGAAAATAGAGGAAAAACTGGCCTGGATTTTTGTCTAACTCCCTCGCTTGCCTATAGATGGAGTAACAGGCTAGTGACGGGAGGGAGAAAAAGGTTATGTTAAAATTTGGACGCTGGCGCTCGAGCAAAAGATCATCGATAGGCTCAGGACAGCAAGTGATGCTTCTGTTCGTAAAGTTATGAGTTTCGGTACGAAATATTTCACCCACAACCCCTCATCCTCTATAAATAGGACTCTTTAGATGTCCATTATATATCCTCATATCATTTTTGCATTAAGCATTGCATAAAATCTCTTGCAAAACTCTTTAAATTCATTCCAAAATCATTTTTTTCTTATAGAGAGGAAGTTCCACTTGAAGTTGGCTATAACTTGTGGTTTGAAGTGTTTCTACCACAAGTTGAATTAGTTTTATCTCAGGAGACAAGTTTCATAAACTGTGAGTACCATTGCAGGGCAATGTTGTCTTAAGGAAAGAGTGGTTTTTTCACTTCCTTCGGATTTTCCTTCTTCATTTCTTGTTTCTTTGTGGTTTGAATACTATAAAGTTCCATTCCATATATAGTTGTGTTTAAATATGCTCCTGGGGATTAAACATTGATATTTTATTTATCACATAACAACCCTTTCATTACAACCATATATTCTGAACAACAATCTTAAGACAAAACTTTGATTGTTGTGTGGAAACAAAACTGTTATCTGCCTTTTTGGAATATGCTTTACGGTTATTCTCTTCCCTTTGTTTAGGCACTGAACTTTTGTTTGCATAATAGAAATGAATACCATGGACACGATTTCGAGTCAAACAACCAACGGTATGAATAATGTGGTTCCGCCTTTAGCTATACCACTTCTAAATATTACAATCCCACATGGGAAAATCTAGAAAAGTTTGGAGGTGTGGACTTTAAGAGATGGCAATAAAAGAAGTTTAATATTACTAATATAAACTTGACAAAGTTTCTTGAAGAGATTGCACCAATGGTACAAGAAGGAGAAAATAATTGTGAACCGATTATTGTTTTGGATGCACGGAGGCATTCAAACTTTCTATACAAGAACTATATACTAAATGGATTGGATAGTATAATGAATGAAGCGTATAGTTCAAAAGACTCTGCCAAGGAACAATGGAATTCGTTAGAAAAAAATACGAGACTGTGGATGCCGGAATGAAAAAATTCATAGCCGGTAAGTTGCTGGATTACAAGGTGATAGACTCAAAATCATGATAAGTCAAGTACAAAAACTTCAAGTTCAACTTCATGACATACACGCGAAAAAGATAGAATTCAATGAATCCTTCCAAGTTGTTATCATAATTGAGAAACTTGCTCATATATGGAGAGATTTCAAAAACTGTGTCAAGCACAAATGCAAGGAATGAGTTTGGAGGAATTGATAGTCTGCTTGAGGATCAAAGAAGATAATAGGAAAATCGAAAGAAGGTCAATTTCCAAATTGGAACAAACTTTGTTGAAACCGATGCAAAGGTTGTCAATAAAGAATGCAAGACCTTTGGTGGTGCACCGAGAAGAGACAATTTCAAGAAAGATAAGAAGTTTGAAGTTAATTGTTACAATTGTAGAAAAGTTGGACATCGTTTAAGTGAATGTCTAAAGCATAAAGAACGCAAAAGCAAGCATGATCAAAAGAGACACCCTATTAGATGGGATAAAGAAATGAATCTATTTGCAGTTGTTTTTTAATGTAACAATGTTGGTAACTCACGGGAGTGGTGGATTGAGACTAGGGCTGAGCAAAACCCAACCCCTCAACCCGGTCAACCCAAACCAAGCTGATCGGTTTGCGTTAGTTTTTTAAGTTCAATTGGATTGGGTTGGATTGAAAAATTAAATTTGAGGTTGGCCTCCGGGTTATAATTTAAAATCCAATCCAACTCAACCCAGTCCAATAAATTAAAAAAAACTAATATCTAAGATGAAAAAATCCTAAATAAACACAATAGTAAAGATATAAGGACTTAAAATTTATAAATGTCCATTTTATTTATATAGATTGATTCACATGAACACTTTGTACAAATGAAATGTTATTTGACAATAAAGCAAAAATTAAGAACATCATGATGAAATGAATAAATTCCAAAAAAATTGTAAAAAAA